CTGGAACTCTTAACATCATATATGATAACAGTTTGTAAAGAGAATTGGTTATGTAAATGCTGACTTTAAATGTCTTGTAAAGAAAAGCCCAACCCTGTATTATAGAAAATGTGACTATATAATAGAGTTCATATGCTGACAAAAACTCAGTCCTTTAAGTGTCTTGTACTGTCTGCAGTTAAATTATTTGTGCAATATTTAAATTTTTTTTTCAGTCATCCCTTTATTTAATTTTTTGGTAAATGGTGGACCATTGTACTTGTGAGCAGTAGCAGAAGTGAAGCAGAACAGGAGCAGCACTGCAAGGTGTGAGTTTTACTAAAGCAGTCTTGGCCTTACAAACTGCATAGCTCAGAATGACATGAGAAGTCTTTTCTAAGTGTTCTTAACAGGAGGCTTTTTCTAAAATCCCATCAGTAAAGTTTTAATAACAAAGTAGTAGCTTGCTATCTGAAACATAACTGGTGGATATTTTTATGACAGGAAAATCTCATATATGTACTCACAACATCTGAACATGTTAGGATGATGATTCTGTTCTTAAATCAGATTAGTCTGACTGTTTTACCTCTAAAGCAGAGTGTGAGACTCAGAAGAGGATTTAAATTACAGCTTCCTGTATGTTGTGTTGTCTCATGAGCTGTGTACAGACAGCAGCCCTGCTTGTAATTCTACATGCATTTAACTTTTAACACCAAAATCTCAACTGTTCCATACTTGATCTAGATTTGGATGCTTATTTTTAACAGTAGCTAAAACAGTTCAGAAGAATGCAGGAAAGGATTTTTCTTTTTTTCAAATCACTGCTGCTCTCATGGTTCTTTGTACATAAGTAGCAAAATTTAGACTTTTTGCAAAATTGTACTGTGACTTAATACATTTTTCAAGCAAGTCTCCAGTGGCTGCAGAGTATTTCTCATGCTATTCCTTAAGCGAGGTATTGGTCAGAAAGCATCCATGTGGCTTGAGTTAGCTGCATTTTTGGTAAAGTCAGAGGAAATGTTTGGATTGGACTCTTGGGAATGCTGAGAATCAGGGGAAGAAGCATCTTCCTCTGCATTCCAGACTGCAACTATTTTGGTACATCTCAGAACTGTGGTGATAGGTACTGGTGTGGAATACTCAGCAGCTGAAATTCTTTGCTTGTCCTACTGTTGCCTCTGTGGTGAGAGGAGTTTTCACATCTGTGCATGTTCTGGTTTGTCTTGGAGAACTTTGTCCCTGCTTGTGTATTCAGTGACCTGAGAGATACAAAGGGTGTGAGTGATGAGAAGTTCCTTCTGGAGAAGAGCCTCAGTGATAGGACTGTTCTGTGGGTGTTAGGGATGGGAGAACAGGTACTCACTGGAGTTACACAGGCGAGGGCATGTCTGAGGAAAAGCCCAGTTCAGTTTGAGGTTCAGGCAGTTACTCTGAGGATTTCAGTAAAGCCATAGAGCAAGAACATTAACATTTGTCTTAACTACCTATATGTCACAGGAACTTGAACTGCTTTAACAAAATAAAAGATTTTTCTTTTTCCTTTTTCTTTTTTATTCATGGGGAGGTGGGGAAGAACTACTCTCTTACTGTCTTAGTGTCAGGTTTAGAAACCAAGGTGAAACCATTATTCTTCTAAGCTCAGAATTTAACACTTTGCCTTCCTCTTGAAGCAGGGTTGGTTGCACTAAGCTTAAAAACAAAACAACCCCAAGCAAACAAACAAACAAAAAAAAGCCAAACTCCAAAACTCTCCACACTAAAAAAATAACCTCCGACAGCAACAAAATAAACCCCCAAACCCACACTCCATATAAAACTTACTACAACTTATTATTCTGCTGTGGATTAGAATTCTGATGTGCAAATGTTACAAGTTCAGCCAGAAATCAATATATGATGTTCAAAGACTAGAAATTCTATCCAGCCTCTATCCACTGGAGCAAATCAACAAATTTCTGATTTTTCACTATCTTTTTTTTTTTTTTTACAGTCTTGGTAGACAAATGCAGCACTCTTAAAGAACCCTTTGAAGGGTAAATGGGAAGTTTTAAAGTGCAGTCAGCATTAACTGCTTTAGATAGAAAAGCATTTGCCAGAATATTAGAATTTTTTTTGAATTTTACATAAATAGGTGTAAATATTGGTATCGACTCTTTTTGGATTCTTCCCATTTAGTGCAACTTTTACTAGGACAGTGTCTTAATCATCAAAGCCTTAGGAAACAAAGCAGCTGTGGGAGGGTAACAGATTTTAAAGTACATAGTTTTGGTCATCTTTGATAGAAATCTTGTATGCTTGCCTTGAAGAAACACTAATGTCTGCTTGGACACCTTAAGTTCACTGCTGTTCAACATGCAAAAGGAAAGGACTTGGAATAGTAATATCTACTTCTGTTTAAATTTATTATTTTAGGATATTTCTTCTGAAAGCAAATGATTTATACCTTGGTTTTGGTGCATATGCAAGTATGTAGAAGGGCTTTTCAAAGGCTTACTCAGAGCAGAGTTGTTGATGAGGGAGGGTTTATTTCCCAGTCTGTGGAAGGTTCATGTCAGTGGGTTCAGATGAGATACTTGCTTCCTTGGGCACTGTGTTCCCTCTTTTATAAACACAGATGTTCCAAATCTCCTGGCTGCCCATATGTGAGAAAGGGGATTAGTGATACTGATTGGATACTGATTTTTTTTTTTTTTCTGTCCTGCTACAAATTTCTTGCTGTTGACATGTGCTTGTTTTCCTAAGGGCTCTAATGATCCTGAGCATGAAATGAAATGGGTTATTGCATGGTGAAACTTCAGCCCGTGGTTTCTAGCTGTAAAATGTGTATAAACTGTAAAAAGCACGGGTTAGGGTAAAATAAAATTTTGTGCTAAGAATGTGCTCTGGGTCTCTTTGAGAAGAGACCTAAAAGCTGTTTTGTTATGGGTGGGTGTGTTATGAACCCAGCAGTACGCAAGGAAAATGCATTCAGCCAAGTGTGGTTTGAATGCAGAATTACAACCCTGCAGGGTGGTACAACTTAATATGTGATGGAGACCACGTAAGCTACAGATATCTTTTACTTTTATTTAAAAACTCATGCAAAACGTTTACTCAAAATTCTAGTTTTTCAACTTAAGTGTTAGGGTTTTTTTTTCCTTAAGCGATGTTCTTGGTACTCTATACGTCGTTCTTAACAGTGTATTTCACGAGTGCAGGGCACAGGTTTTAGGAATTGCTTGGACAAGTGCCGCCATCTCGAGGTGTAGCCGATCAAAGCACCACCAGTGCCGCTGTA